GAAAAAATAAAGCTCTGGCGCATGTTGCCAAAAGTCTGGGAGGGAAGAAACAAGTCCACTGAGAGAAGAAGTGGGATCGTTGGAATTCGTAGAGGACATGATTGTAGAAAGAAAGAAGGCAAACGGGCGGTATGCAAATAGGAAGTCGACTAATTAAAGGTATAAGCGTGAACGTCAAGGGTCACCACTGTCGCGAACGCTAAAGACAGAACCGTCAATCCCAGACTATAAAAATCAGGATAAGACCAGAGTTATGGAAGAATTAATAATCAAAAGTCAAACGACCTGACAATCCCACTCATGCCAAGCGCGTCGCGTCGAGTTGTGTTCATTCCATTCAGTTAAACAACCAGTAAGTTCAAGAATGAGGAACAGGTAGGGAAAGGCAAGATAGTCTGGCGCCTCGGCACAGATGCAGGGTGGGTTGTTCGTGGGTTACAGGGACTCCAGTGCGCAGTTCGTGACTATTCATCATCAGATAGATCAGGAACGGTATCTGCCATACTCCCACGGCCATCGCATCGTGTCTGGAAGACGGCGATGATGATCAACTGGGATCACAAGCGAACAATAAGACATCCAGGAGCAATTAATTATCCGCCAGTTGCAGGCATCATCTCCTATCAAGTTCCGAAATTTCACAAGTTGGCGTAAGTAATGGTGCACTTAATCACCTGTAAAGGGGTGGAAATGTGTAGCTCGAAAGTTAGACAGTCGGTACGGTAGGCGACCTAACTAATGAAGGCTAATGAGCCTACATCCGACAACAGGGTGTCGCAGAGGCGGTGACATGCGTGTGATTTAGTTAATAATAGTGGTAGACTTACAATGTATCTACCCCAGTCTCTCCTTCTCATCCACAACCGCCTGGGCTCCTGGTAAGTTCTGGCTATGCAGCCCCACCTGATGGACACAATACTGTTGGGGTCGGGGTTATGGGTTAGGGCGGCTGAATCTCAACATTTCAAAATATTTCAATTTCCAATAGCTTTTCTTTTGCACAAATTACTTGACATCTTCGCCCGCGGGTTCGCCGGCCGCACCTGCAAAAACTCCTATTACCGCCGGTCTCGCATTACAGATGGCTGGGGTTTGTTTACTTCTGGCTACTAACTGCGATCTAGCCCGTTCTCTTTTTCTTACTCAGCACAGGTGTAGGCAGGACGAATGGCAATAAATAGAAGAAGCAACTGGCAGAGCGCCAGCCAGATGCTAGGGGTCACCCCAAATCCACAAATCCCACCCACTTGCCTCGACTAATTGTAGCCGCAGGCGGCAGCCCAGTCAGCCGGATGATTCGTGAACCACATCCTCTTCGAAGTGACACAGCTCTTTGCATCCAGCTCGGCGGATTTGTTGCGAAAGGCTATACGGTGCGTCCTGCATAGAAGTATGGCAAATCATGGGCTTGTCTTTACTGATATTGTCATCATACTTAAGTAGTATTACAGGTCGATGCCTCCCGTCATTCCGGGTAAATTGTAAACATACATCTGCATTTATGCAGCACCAGTGACATGTGTGTCGATGGTTTGCAATTTGCAACACCTAACTGCATCTTCTCCTCTCGGAATCATTGTAGAAAGAGCATGTTTATGCCCAATCGTATTAATGGACGCCAAGGACTGCTCGTCTGTAGTCGACTACTGCGTCCTTTCGTCAGCAGTTTCAGCAACGTCGCATCTCCTCCCTCCCCTGCAATTGGCCTCAGGGATCACAACATCAACCACATGTTTGGTGCCTACGAGGAGGTTCTTTCCATCCAGATCCACTATCTTCGTCAGGGCCTAGGAGCCAACAATATCCTCCTATTTCCCGGTCCATTCGGCTCCATCAGGACTGATTACATGGTCTTCCTACAGCGTCTTAACAGAAATGAGTACGTTCCGTGGGGCGGCTTGACACTGTGTTTTGACCAACTGGTGTAGATATACATAGACCAAGATAGAGATGTAGAAATTCGCATGAGGATACACTATATAGAAGTTCGAAAGGAATACGCTCTTTGGGAAAGATTAACAAGGTTTATTGTAAATTTTCGATCTTGGTTCCCCAAGTCGTCCTCAGACGTGGAATAAGTGTGCAAAACAGTCAACATTTAAACATGCCGAAAAATCGATTTTGCCTTGCCATTCCTGCTGGTGTCTTGCTCTGATTGGCTAATGCCTTTTCCACTTTTCCTTGAGGCTGTTGTACTCCGTATCCAATTCTACGTGTTTATTGATGCCTGCGTTATCAGAATGGATGGCCTCTAAAAATTCACGGCCCTTTTTAGATGAACAGACACCTACAATGCGGGTCCTGTCCCAGGCGAATTTGTGTCCGGTTTCCAAAGTACGCATGGCAATTTGGGACAAGTAGTCTCGGCTTTTTACGGCCAACTGATGTTCGTGTATTCGTGTAGAGGCCGATTTTCCGGTTTGATCACAGTAAACCGCATTACAGGTGTTGCATGGTATCTTATAGACGACTTCCTTCTTATCTAAATAGCCAACCCTATCCTTAGGGTGTACAAGCTGGTTACGAAGTGTAGTCGTCGGTTTGTGCGCCACATGTATCTGGTGCTATATAGAAGTGTCCCACTAGCCGACGACTACAGTACGTAGGCTGCTGATTCACACTCAGGATTGGGTATAGCAGTTTGGTAAGCGTTAACACGCAAAATCACCGCCACCGCCACCGTTACAGGACAGGTTAGTTAAACGGTCTTCGGCTAGATCGCAATTGGTAGCCAGAACCCCTATTACAGGTGGCGGGGGTTTGTTTACTGGGGCTATTTTATGGGGCTCCATGATCACATCTGACCCATTTGGCTTCCGTTATACGTTTGAGGTTACGAGTAGGGTACCGTTTAATGGTTTCCGATTTTCGGGTTAGGGTTATGCCTTTAGGCTTAGGTTTTCGGGTTACGGTTAGGGTTTGAGAGGACGATTAGGTTTCAGTATTATGGTTAGGTTTTCAAGTTACGGCTATGTTTAAGGGCTACGGTTACGTTTACGATTTCGGTTACGGTTAGGGTTAGGTTTGACGTTAGGGCTAACGGTTAACGTTTAGGGTTAGGGTTCGTTTTAAGGTTAGGATTAGGGTTAAGGTCGCCGTCTGCTTCCCCACTTCTGGCTACCAATTGCAATCTGGCCGAACCTACATCGGACAGCAGGGTGTCGCAGAGGCGGTGACATGTGCGTCATTTAGTTATTAATAGTGGTAGACATACAATGTATCTACCCCAGTCTCTCCTTCTCATCCACAACCGCCTGGGCTCCTGGTAAGTTGTGGCTATGCAGCCCCACCTGATGGACACAATACTCTTTGGGTTGGGGTTATGGGTTAGGGCAGCTAAATCTCAACATTTCAAAGTATTTCAATTTCCAATAGCTTTTCTTTTGCACAAATTACTTGACATCTTTGCCCGCGGGTTCGCCGGCCGCACCTGCAAAAACTCCTATTACCACCGGTCTCGTATTACAGATGGCTGGGGTTTGTTTACTTCAGGTGGGATTACATAACCACACCTGATGGGGCCCATTTTTCATGACAAAATCAAGAAGACCGCAGGTGGGAGAGAACCGCGCCTTGACCAGGGCGCTGCGTGCGTGGGTGGGTGCACACATGACCTTTGTCCGCCTGCAATCCCGATCAGCAAATGACACGTCGTGGCCATATCACGTGCGTTGCAATTGGCAGGAGGTGTTACTTAGGCTGACAGAAGGCGTCATGAGAGAATAACCAGACTGACGACCAGGAGAACGGACTGCCACAGACACACAAGTTCGCCCCAACCGCTAAATGTCCTACCACACAACATCTCCGCTACCGCCGTCGCAGGACAGGTTAGTTATCTTACGACAGGGACCTAGCTGTCCGCCTCCCCATTTCTGGCTACCAACTGCGATCTAACCGAGACCTGCATTGGAGTTGGACAAAATACGGAGCCCTCTTAAGATTGGGCATGGTTTCATTGATATTGCATCCACAGTTGAATAGTGTTACAGGTCGATGCGCCCTGTCCGTCAGGACTAATTGCACATGTATCTGCATTTATGTTGTGCCAGATAATATAGGGCATTTTGCAATTTTAAAAATCCAACTGCATCTTCTCCTATCGGAATCATTGTAGAGCGTGCATGTTCAATCCCCATGAACTTGGTGGACACTGAGGACTGCTCGTCTCCTTCCTCCTTCCGAATTGGCCTCAGCGAGGCTCGCCGCAAAAATCAAATGTTTGGTGCCTACGAGGAGGCCCTTTCCGTCAGCATCCGCTATCTGCTCCAGGCGCCTACGAGTCAACAATATCCTGCTCATTCCCTCCCTCCCATCCTCGTCTCCGCCATCACTGATTGCGACGTCTTAAGCAAAATGCTTGTTCTCCATGGCGGCTTCGTGTTGCGTGCATTCAAAAGGCGACATCTTGGTGAGTCCGAAATAGCATAGCGTTATGCCGTATGATAATCAATGTTACAACCCAACCTAAGTAATCCTTCCTTATCGGAAACTCCATTCAGAATTTCGATCAACATTTCATGAGACCGGTCACGAGATGTAGCTGCTTTGCATGCCCCATTTTTATGCACTGTGGATGGAGGCCTATTTGCTGAAAATTTTGGAATGACACTTGCAAAATGAGATCTATCGTGCTCCCTCTCTCCCTCTCCCTCTCTCTAACACAGGCGAAAGAACGAATGATGTTATATAAATGCGACTGACAGGCAGAGAAGGCCTCGATGATGCCGACTAGATCAGGCATGATCGCAGCCGTACCATGGAGAAGAAGAAGAGTAAGACATGAGGGTCAGACCTACACACATTCTGTCAAGCTTGATGACACGAAAACCATCTTTTGATGTGGAGGCGGTTCTCAGACCTGAATTAAATCAACATAAAAATATCAGACTGAGTCCCGAAGACGAGTCTGAACCTTCACAAGATCATGCAATATTTCGACACAAAATTGCATTTTGCATCAACCGCGACCGACCTGATACGCGAACCTATGAGAAGAGACCTGGGTAAGATCGCAGTTATTAGCCAGACATTGTGCTGATACTGTCGACGTACGTACTCGTTGTCAGTAGGTTCCCGTTAGGGTCACTGTTAATGTTAAGGCTAGGGCTAAGGTTAGGCTTAAGGTTGTGTTCAGGCTTAAAGTTAGGGCTAGGGATAGGCATAAGGTTGGTGTTAGGGTTATTGCTAGGTTTTGGGTAAGCGTTGGGTCGTAGGATTTTGGTTACGTGTCGGTTTTGAGGCTTAGGGTTAGGCCTTACGGTTGCCGTCAGGGGTTGGATTTTAGGGATAAGCGTGGGGTTTACATTCCTGCCATTATTCCCCCTACTTTTAAATTCACAGCACTTTCTCTGGTAAATATACTTTTACCCAGAAACAGCCCTTCCATTTACCCCACCTATATAACCCTCTTTCCCACCATTGCCGTACGACAGGGACCTGGCTGTCCGCCTCCCCATTTCTGGCTACCAACTGCGATCTAACCGAGACCTGCATTGGAGTTGGACAAAATACGGAGCCCTCTTAAGATTGGGCATGGTTTCATTGATATTGCATCCACAGTTGAATAGTGTTACAGGTCGATGCGCCCTGTCCGTCAGGACTAATTGCACATGTATCTGCATTTATGTTGTGCCAGATAATATAGGGCATTTTGCAATTTTAAAAATCCAACTGCATCTTCTCCTATCGGAATCATTGTAGAGCGTGCATGTTCAATCCCCATGGACTTGGTAGACGCTAAGGACTGCTCGTCTAATTCCTCCTTCCGAATTGGCCTCAGGGCCCGCCGCAAAAATCAAATGTTTGGTGCCTACGAGGAGGCCCATTCCGTCAGCTTCCGCTATCTGCGACAGGCGCCTAGGAGGCAAGAATATCCTGCTTATTCCCGTGGGCCCCTCGTCGCCACCATCACTGATTACGAGGCCTTAAGAGGAATGCTCGTTCTCCAATGTAGTTTGGTGTTGGGTGTATTTACAAAGTGATGTAGATGTAGATCAGGATACACCTGGAAAGTCGCAAGCGGAAATACGATATTCAAATGACGCAGATACCATCGACTACAATACGCAGTCAATTTGTACACTCTGAAGATTGGGTGGGGATGCTAGCATATAGAGACCGCTCACTGGCACGCATGTCAGAAAAGTATTGCTTTTAAGGCACGTCTGGAGAGTGAACTGCCTTGCACACACACACCTATGTCCTACAAGGTCCTGGGATTCAATATCCTTCGATGTTTTCATTGATCCTTGATGGCGGATTGGAGTGAGAGTTTGAGACGTCGCAGTAGTATCATGCTAGATCTGGGTCTTTTCTTCTGCAAATATCTTACCTGGCTTGCAGGTAGTTACACATCTCACGCCTGTAGATAAGTATAAAACGGACAGTCAATCTGTCGGCCGTATTCTCCAGAATGACTGCCCTCAGTGAACCCTGTCCCGATAATGACAGGCAGTGATGCACTATCTGGACTTCCTGCGAAAATTGCAGCAAAGGTCCATTTTCTGAATGATGGACAGCAGATCAGCGCCGTACATCAGTATGAATGTAATCTTAGAGCACTTTATGCAAAAGGAGGATTTCGCCCTGTCGTCGCTCACGATCATTCATTTCGGAATGCATGCTTGCGATGATAATGCTGCATGACGGTACTGTGTGACGGATACACGACAAAGACTTCGTGCTGTGTGCACACTGGTGTAAACTATGCATGGCAAAGGTGTCTGACGTCTGTTGACAACGTATTTCTCTCCGCCCCCATCTTCCATCCCTTCCTGTCTGCAGGTTTACTGTGATGGACTCTCATTCGTCGGACTGCGTTCTCAGCATTCCAACTTCACGCATGCTCGCCCGCTAGCCCGCGACTGGAGTGATCCCGAGGCCCTGCTGTAGGATGCCAGACTTGACGTGAATTTGATACAGCAGTTGGGCCACTTGGCCATCTCCTGCGTCGGCTGGTCCGAGGGCGACCATTCAGCCATCTAGACAGCATCAGACTTGAATTTCGACGGTCAGCCGCGTTTACATTGGCCAGTTCTGCTGGTGGCGCATTAGGCCATTTGTCCGGAAATGCGCTCATTATGGGTGTTGACACCAATCACGTGTCCCCTGACATTGCGATTTAATGATCTGTGTCTATACTCCTCATACAATGTTTCTGTTAATGCTGACAAGTACTAAAATAAAAAGCACGATAAATGCACAGAAAGATGTGCTATTTTTTTCCCAAATATTGGGATGTGTCATCTGGTTGAAACGGTTGTTTATGTGGACTTGGAAGAGGCGATGGCAGAATGCGCATTCTGCCAAGTTATCTCATTGGCTGTGGCCTGCTGATTTGCAAAGTCACCTGGATATCGTTTGAAAGCAGGACGAAATACGTTCGAGACCGTTTTGCTCAAAGCTGTGAGCTAGAGCGTCCACAGATAGTCGCACAGCAACCCACCTTCATATATCAGACCTCTTCTGATTGTCATTGGGGTGTTTCTGTTTATTAAGGGAAAAACCATTGATATGTGTGAAGGTGAAAAGGGAATTTTGTACATAACGCCGGACAGCTGCCAGCTAGCCGAAAAATAGTAATCATTAACGGTTACTTCCTAATTGCAAGTAGCACAGGCACACACGTTAGTGTCGGGTTACGTGAGTGGATGTGAGGCTGGTGATTGGGAAGCATGATAAGCGTCAAGTCTACACTTCAAGGAATTCACACAGGAGGCAACTACAACATCGGTAGGCAGGGCATTCCACGCTGCAACTACTCTGTTACTGAAAAAGAACCTTCGTCCATTGATCCTTTCTTTCCCTGCGCGTAGTTTTAGGGGATGACCGCGCAAGGTGGGCGTGTTAGCTTGAGTAAACTAATCAGTGGGATCTGAACAACAGTCTAGGCCGTTGATAATGCGAAATGTTAACATAAGGGAAACAGGTTGAGAGTTGACAGTCTGGTTTCATAGGGCAGTGCTCACAGACCTCGTGTATGTTTGTTCTTGACTAATGAAATACTACTTTGTCATTTAAATGTGACCCTGCCTTTGGACTTAGGCGTACGTCTGTGGGGATACCAACTAATAATAACTGGACGTGGTCTTAGCTATGTGATGAATTAGGATATTGGATAAGGACCTTTATCAGTTAGTGGAATAATGAAATATTTGTAGGAAGGGGTACGCACATGGGAATGAAGGAGGCATTAGTGGTCACGGGTTACCCGAAAGGGGGGAGGTGTGATGGGTAGGCGGGAGGTCGGAAGTGAGCGTTGACGCACTGGCCCAGAAATCTGTACAGCTCATCCACGTGAGCCACACAGGATCAGTTTGAATTCTGTTTAAAGTGGGAAAATGAGAGGTGGGGCTGACCGTGACAAGCATCGCGCTCACATCTCCAACCCGATCTCAGTGTCACACACACACACACCAGTTGAAATCCGGCAGGGACTAGAACGGGGATAGATGATAATCCACAATTAGTTGGAAGCTAACCCCCATCAACTGTGGGGAGGAAATTTCACATAAAACGAAATACTATATATACATGGGGGTAACAGTGGATGCCTTGTGAAATCAAGTCAGTCAAGACAGATGGCGTTGATTTTTTCGGCGCATTTCCCTGTCGTGTTGGCTGGCAATCATGGCGTCTAAGATTCGTCTTCAGTGCCATTTCTAATAGATTTTGTCAGTCCACATCAAGATCAATTCGCCGTAGCAATTGGAACGTGAGTAAAAGCTCACGGACGTCTTGTCGATAGTGGAGACGATAAACGTTTAAGGCTGTCAGGCGCTTTTCGTACGTCAAATATTTGAGTTCAGGGACAAGCTATATAGCACGTCCTTGCACACCACCTTCGAGATGAGCTATGCCCTCCCGAAGTAACGGACGCCAAGCCTGTACCACATACTCCATGTGTGTCCACACAAATGTTCCCTATACATCACCGACGATATCGGCATCCAGTTCGTGCAAGGTTCTGCCCACAGTCCTTGAAGTTGTCGTTGTCTGCACTGCGATGTTACGCTCACATCGTCTTTAATGAATACTTCACACATATATATACGGTGAAGGCTGACCTATTCCGTATGTTGCGACCTATCAAACGATATGGGTTGTGAGATGACCAAGTGCATGAGGTGAGATGGGGGAGACAGCAGTAGAGGTCGGATCTGCTGTACAGATATTCGGTAGTTGTCAGGGCGCTATCCGCCCCACCGACAAATGCGCGGCCACATCTGAGACTGTGCACACGCAAGTCTGTTCGTTAGGGTGCTTTACCTGAAAATCGACCCAGAGGCATGGAAGGACGTCGCGGAAGATGGACAGGAGTGGCGCATTAGCGTAAAGGTTGGATTAGCAATGTAGGAAAACCAGGAGTGTGGCCGGCAACACTCAAATGCTACGGATAAATACTGTCAGCACCCAAAACCCTGCCATCACTTCCACACCGTGAGCGGACCTTCGGGGACGGACCGACTTCACAACACACAACCACTACCGCCGCCGACGACGCTGCCACCACTGACAACACCAATGAGGACACTCCTACCTACCTGCAAAATATATACAACCACTCCTCCTCATCCTCCTACCTCTAATCCACCGCCAACGCCTTCACCACTCGATTGTTCACCAGGTCGCGTGAGGGAATGCACAGACGGACAGTTTGCAGCTTTGTCCAGCACTGCGCCCGATCCCACCTCCAGTCATCTGGACATTGTCTTTCCATCGGTGTCCGGTGGGTGTGGGTGGGAGAGAGGGAGGAAGGGAGTGGGGTAGATGTTGCGCAGAGCTGCCTCACAATAAACGGATTTCCGCGAAAGTCACCAGTGCTGCGTCCAGTCTGCGCGCCGCCGATGCAGGTCGTGCCTCGTGGCGATCACATGATTCCACCTAGAGGACCCAGTTCACAGTCTAGCTCATTGTATCACAATAGTGGCGGCTATTTATACCGAAATGAAAGCATCGCATCAGTAAGCCTGTTGATCGCAAATAAGTGTGCGATTATTCTTCTTATCA